CTCACAACTTCTTTATTCAGTTTTCTGTCAGTGGACATATAGGCTGCTTTCATGTCTTGGCTATTGTAAATAGTGCTGCTGTGAACAGTGGGGTGCATGTATCTTTTCGAACTCGGGTTTCCTCCAGGCATATGCCCAGGAGTGGGATTGCTGGATCATAGGGTAAACCTATTTTCAGTTTTTTAAGGTATCTCCATACTGTTTTCCACAGTGGCTGCACCAAACTGCATTCCCACCAGCAGTGTAGGAGGGTTCCCTTTTCTCCACACCCTCTCCAGCATTTGTCATTTGTGGACTTTTTAGGGGCAGTTTCTGTTGACATATCCATTTTTCTTTGAATGGGCCCTACTTCCCCATTGCTTTGTATGGCTTTTTTTTTTCTTGAAAGTTAGAAAATTTGAATCTAATAATGTGGTAATTCTAGATATCAGATTCTCCTACTTTCCCTGGATTTGCTGTTTTTTTTTGTTGTTTGTTTTGTTATCGTTTTTATTCATTATTTCAGTTTTTTGCTTAGTGTAGGCCGTCTCTGCAGATAATCAGCCTGAAGTATAAATAAACTCTTCTCAGGTCTTTTCTAAGCGTTTCCCTGGGCATGGCGTTTACTCTTCAATTTCCCCTGTATATGCAGTTGGTTTTTGAATGTCCTAGTCTTTAATGTCTGGCTCCCAAAAAGGGAAAAAGAGAAAAATGAAAGGAGGGAGTAAAAAGGTGCTGGCCTGTTAAATCCCCTGAAAGTCACTTCAGCCAGAGGAAGACAGGCTTGCAGCAAAGGGGGAGGCAGGCACAAGAACAGTGGTACCTGCCTTTTTGTCTGCATTTCTGTGATCAGAAGCAGACATTGGCAGTCAGAGCACAGATCCCCAGTATTTGAAGGACAGGGTCCTTTCTGCCCACACCGACTCCAGCAAGCTGTGTGCAGGCTGTTCCAGGAGCACATGGCACAGCTACCTGCCGTGGGGCGGGACATGGGGGATGCATAGCTCCTACTGTGCTAAGAGCTGAAACTGACCGAAATTTTTTTTAACCTGATTTGAATCATTTATTATTAAAGTCAAATCTCATCCTCTCTCCAGTACTATCCAATAAGTCATCCTGTGTTCAGAGCGGATGCTGTGTGTGTGTGCTGCTCAGTACAGTAGCACTTGGAATGTGGCTAAGTGCCACTGAGGAACTGAATGTTCAGTTTTATTCATATTTAAGTTAAATTTAAATTTTTTTAATTGAGTTATAGTCAATTTACAATGTTGTGTCAAATTCCAGTGTAGAGCACAATTTGTCAGTTATATATGAACATACATATATTCATTGTAAACTGACTGAAATTAACTGCATTACTGTTCAAGACTTCTGGAAGTTGCAAGACTTCAGTAATCTCCAGAGTTCCAAAATGGTTACATCAGACAGATTCTTCTAGTGCAATTGTTGTCTATGTGCGGAGACAGATTTCTCGTTCTTTCTACTCTGCCATCTTCCCAAACAAGTCTTACAGTAAGTAATCAGGTCATTTCTTTTTCCTTTCTTTCTTTTTTAAAAAATCTGCTTTAGTTCACAATATTACCTAGGTCTATGATAGAATTAATACTATCAGCTTTATAAGTAAAATTCTAAGCTGCTGAAATCAAGCTTTGTGTCCTCTCCTTAGTTTGAGTTCTGCACTTGTGTGACCATCGTAATGAGTCTACCTTGCCCAGGAGACCCAAATCTCTGCCACCCTGTGATGGTCTTTCTGATGTGTCTCCCGTTAGTTAGTCAAACACTAATCTAGATATTTCTCGGAAGGTATTTTATAGATGTGATCCATACTCAGTTGACTTTAAAGGAGATTATTTTATATAATCTGGGTGGGCCTGAGTCAATCAGTTGAAAGGCCTTTAAGGCAGGACTGAGATTTCCCTGAGAGAACACAGCCCACCTGTGGAGAGCACCTTCAGCCGGGAGTTCCAGCCTGCCCATTCCGATGGCCCGCATTTATGAACTTCAGACTTGCCTAGCTAACCCCCATAGTGGTGTAAGCCAGCAATAAATCTCTTTAACATGTACCTTTCACTAGTTTGCTTTTCTGGTTGAACTGACTCACACCTGTATGTTCAGGATTTGCCAGAAGTGACAGACTCCTTCCTGTCTTCTCTTCTCCAAAGTCGCCCACCATCAAAGGACTTACATTTCAAGCCCCACTCCTTCCTTATCTACTCTCCCTTCCTTGTAGGATGTTTCCTTCGGCTCCTGAAAATTCCCTCTACACAATCTGTCATCTCTGGCATGATTGTTTTTGACCTGATTATGACCTGATTATGATCTGAATGACCCTAAAGGTTCTGAGACTCTCATATATGAAAACATCCCGCAGAGTTTGAGCAAAGATCAGCTCCCAGAGAGAATTTTTGGGTGGCCGAAGGGACTGTATACATGGTTCATCAAATATATTTTCAAAAAATGTGAATTTCATAATAGGCATAGAAACGCTAGGGAGTTTTTATAGATTCCAGGAGACTAAAGAGACATGGTAACTAAATACAGTTTCATATCCTAGACTAGATATTGTACTGGAGGAAAAAAAAATGCCCTAAGGATACTGGTAGCTAAACTGACACAGCTGAAATACAGACAGTAGATTAAATTCTATGTTACTGTTCAAATGACCAAAGTCGATAACTATGTTGGAGATAGGAAACAGAATATCCTTATTCTCAGGAAATACTCAACTATTTAGGGGTAAAGAATAATGATGTTTGCAACTTACTCTCAAACATTTAGGCAAACGTATAATATGTCTAAGGAAAGCAAATGTAACAAAATGCTAAAAGTAGGTGACTTTGGGCCATAGGAGTAGCAGTGCTCTGACTATTCTTGCAACTTTTCTGTAAATTTGTATTTTTTCCGAAGAAAAAGTTTTCAAAAAATGGCCCATGACTCTTCTCCCCTGAATTTTATCTCCTTTGAGAGTCTGACTCTCATAGCCCCCGGAAATGTGCTATTACAGCCCTCTCGGTGAAGAGCAGTGGGATACACGTATCACAACAGAGGTTCTGCCATTTGTGTTTACAGAATATAGAAAAAGGACACCAGGGAAAACGAAATAGAAAATACACATAGATACAAAGAATTACACTTATAACATAGAGGCTTCAGGTACTAGGAATCAGAGTGTAGTATCTGAAGTCAATTACACCTGAGTTCTAATCTTTGCTCTGTCCCATGCCTCCAATAACAGCCATGTGACCTCTTTGTTCTTCAGTGTCCTTATCTGGAATCAGGAGATATAAATTCTCAGTGTATGTAGGAAAAAAAAATGCTAGCATATGAAGAGGAATCCTGAAAATGAAAGCTAAGGAGGGAAAACTAGACACCAAATAAATCTCCCACCCCAAGAGTCTACTGATGTTATCAGCATTCTTTGGAGTCTAAAAAGCTCTGATGTCTCCAAGAATTTCTGGTTTTAAAGCGGTAGGGAAGTGAACTGGGGAGAGAAAAGGGCCTCATTTCCTAAGACCCCTCAGAGCCTCGTGCTTTGTATGTGGACTCGCTTAGTATTTAGGACCTTATGACACTCTCCCATGCTGCTGGTGGAAATGTAGATTGTTAGAACCTCTTCAGGTGTTTTGGTAGCATCTATTCGATTAAAAAAATGCATATGTGCACAATGAAGTTTGCATAGAGATCTTCACTGCAGTATGGTCCTAAAAACAAATTCATGGACACAAAAATGTCCCTCAAAGGGATCAGCTGAATAAACTATTACGCATCAATTACACCATTAAAGACTGCATCCATTAAAAGAATGAGTATCTGCATATACTGATACGAAATTATTTCTTCAGTGTATTTACCATAGAAAACAAAGTGTGTAAGGAATGCTATCATTTTTGGGGGGACAGGGGAGGATCACACACATCTATCCTCCTCTCCCAGGGTACTTATTTACACTTAACCTATCTCTGGAAGTTCACGCAAAAAATTTAACGATATTTTTTGGAAGGGTAATTTGGGGACAAGGTGATTTGGGGGTAAACTTACTTTTCACTCTACTCTCTATTTTCCACATTTGTTACCAGGTACCAAAAAATTGTACCTTTCGAAATTTTTAATTTTTATACAATTTTAAAGGTTGCTTTCCATTTACGGTTATTATAAATTATTGGCTCTATTCTCCGTGTTGTACAATACATTCTTGAGCCTGTCTTTCTTACACCCATTAATTTGTACCTCCACGCCACTGATAACCACTAGTTTGTTCCCTGTATCTGTGAGTCTGCTTCTTTTATGTTATGCTCACTAGTTTGTTGTATTTTCATACAAAGGTCCAGCCACCTTCTCACCACCGAAACCCTGTCCCAGCCCACAGTCCTTCTCAAGGGCTCTGGCTGGCATTGGCGGTTCATCCCTGGTTTCCTCAGCAAGAAGGGAGTGTGGTTTAAAGGTGTGGTGTGAAGGGTGGGGAATAGTCCAAGGGACGGGACATAGGTGGATACTGACTTCTCACTCTGTGTCTTTTACATATTTTTGCATATATTATCACGTGCATATAGCACCTTTTGAAAACAATTTATTTCAAAAACATCCCCAACCCCTTCTCCACCCCTCCACACACCCCTCTCCCAAGCCAACAAACCCCTAGCCCTTAACTCGGACAAGCTCACCAGCTGGTTCTTCTTCAGCAAGGAGTCGAGGGCCTTCTGCTTTAAGGGAGGGGCTGAGGGGTGGGAGGCAACCCTCGAGAAAAGGGTTTTTTTACTGATGGGGAACTGAGGTTTAGAAGGATTGCGTTGGCTTATTTCTTCGATTAAACAGGGATAAAAATATATCTACCAAACAGTAGGTAAGAGGAAAATAACGACCCCGAAAAACCTCCTAAAAGTTAACTGTGAAAGAAATTTAAAGCGGAACCATTACCCCTTGAAAAGGCAAAAAGCGGGAACGCGCTGCATGCCGGGACTTGTAGTCCCTTCCAGGGTGGCCCACAGTGCGGCTGCGCGGGAGAGGGGCGCTTTTCCACGCGCATGCGTGCGGCGGCGGCGGCAGGACTGACTGCACCCGGGCTTGGGCGGCCGAGTCGGCGTCCGCGAGCTCGGCATGGCGATTCCGGCGACGTCCATGGGGCCCTCGGCGCTGGGCCAGAGCGGTCCCGGCTCGATGGCTCCCTGGTGCTCAGTGACCAGCGGCCCGACGCGCTACGTGCTGGGGATGCAGGAGCTGTTCCGCGGCCACAGCAAGACGCGCGAGTTCCCGGCGCACAGCGCCAAGGTGCACTCGGTGGCCTGGAGCTGCGACGGGCGTCGCCTGGCCTCGGGGTCCTTCGACAAGACGGCCAGCGTCTTCCTGCTGGAGAAGGACCGGTT